CAACCGTAAGGGTCATTTTTAAATTTCTTACCATTGCATAATAATTAATGATACAAATAATAATAATGTGGTAACAATAAAGAAGAATGAAATGACAATGATAAATAAATAATAACACTGTTTAACAAAAAAAACTTTCATTTCGAATATCGAAACTTAGTCGAAGATTAGTTATTTTTCATAGTTTTTTGTATGTTGAATATAAAATACGTTTTTCAAATTGCTCCACTACGTCATAATTTTAAGAAATTTGCAATTCAATTCTACTTTTACGTTGTTCATCATATAATAATAATAATGTATATTGGAGAAGTTTCAATCAAAATTAAATATGTTGTTAGAATTTTTAGTCCTCAAAAGAATTTAGAATCAGTTGGATATCCAGAATTAAATACGGGATATTATGAACAAGAATTAAGTCATTCATTTAACAAATTGCTTTCAATGTTATGTTTATGGCCAACAGTGCAAAAATCACAACTGAATAGGCTGTAATTTTTATAATTTAGATATTGTACCGGTATTGTGCAATTCAATGTTGTCAGATTTTAATTACTATTTCAAATTATGTGCTAGCATTAAAACAAAATTGTTATAATTTTGAAAACGTATGATACTGTTACGTGTCGAGTTTTGCGCAGAAATATTCATTATATTCAATTTTCAAGCAGTGCACAACATCGCCACTAAAGGGACACAGCAATATTCAGTTACTCGTATTTAAAAAACCACAAATAGGATGCATTGAAAAGGTGCAGAATGAGAAATTCTCAGTGAAAAATTTCTATTCTTTTTTTTTATAAAATGATATTCTTCTAGATCATTCAACTAAACTTTTAAATATTGCGAATCAACATCTAAAAGTTTGTATACATGATGTATACACCGCTAGGAGAAAGTGAGATAGCCTATATTCTTTTCTCGCTTGGAGAAATTTGAAATCCTTATCGCTAGTCTCTGATTAAAGTGTCTCTAGTTTGAACTATATAACGGTCGCACTCCTCCAAATGAAATTGAAAAGAGGTGTTCACCTGAATGCAATTAGGAGGAACTATTAAGATAAATCTGATTTAAAGTAGCGTTATTTTTCAGTATGTTTTTTTTTTAATTCGCTGAAGATGACTTAGGAAGTTATCGAACATCTGAAAATGTAAATATGTATTGATTGTTTGAATATATAATTTATCATTTTATGATAGTGCACCTATAATCGCGCAATTATTTACTCTCACTTGCCCGTTCTTAATTATTGTTACTTATTTTATGTAACCACTTATAATGTATTTTATATATATATGTGTATATATAATCATTTATGCAAAATTAATTATAATAAACGTTTTTTTATGCGAATATTAATTCTAAAAATTTATATATATTTGGTTCATTTTTATTTCAATTTATTATTTAATAGTAGAAAATATGTTTTTAAAAGATACAATAATGTAATTTTTTTTTCTAAAAGTTCGAAGTTCCTACTTTCCAAAATGCATATTCTAGATATTTTTATAATTTAAATATGAAAAAAATTTTTTAATGAAATATGACTTTTTTTAAACTATTGTTTACTTTATTGCTTACAATTGTTTTATTAATAAGGATACATTTTCTTGATATCGTTATATTCTTTATTGTCTAATGTTTTGATTGAAAAAAAATTTATTAAAATATGTTTCTATGAATGTTCTGAGCAATCGAAGTTGCCTTGGATACGCCATTCCAAGTGTGGCGTTTACGATACAAAACTGATCGAAGTGTTTCTTGAGGATTAAGACGATCTCAAATATAAAATCTGACTATGAATACTACCCTAATACAGGGCTTCCTGATTAGCTCATGACAGCTTAAAACTGTACTTAAGGCAGTCTTAAACATAAGAATCGGCTACGAATATTGCCCAATCAGTTCTTATTTTAAAATAACCTTACGTAATACCTTAAAATGCTAATACGATTCTCTGATTCATGACATCTTAAGACTGTACTTAAAACAGTCTTGAATATAAGAATTAATTATGAATAACGATTTAAAAATCCTTTTGAGCTTTGAGAATCCCAACAACATGCTTAATTTCGATTGCAATAAACTTTCTCCAGCACGTTACATATCGTAATTGTGATACGACAAAATATGTAAAAATAGTTCTTTTTTGCAACTTTAAATTTTCAATTTTTTTTGAATTATGATGTGATAGAATCATTTGGAAGCCGAATTTGTATTCAGTATTCAAAACATTACGATAAATGCGTAGTCTTGTTCTGATACTTTTTTTGTCAAACAGTGTAATAGCTAATAGATAAAGTATAATAGCTAACAGAAATGAGTGATCACTCGCTCATACATATTTTCGTGAAGGTAATCGATATGAATCGAGGAGAAGACGCACGAAAACTGCTATTCACTATTTTTTTCTGCGATTATTTTCTGGTGATCTTTCTTATCGAACGTTTCTCACGATTTGTATATGACTTGTGCGTGCTTTGTGTTATGCTCCGTTCAC